AGGGAAAGCTGTGCTATTGCTTTCCCAGCAACTGCCCCTAGTAGAGGGCTACGACCACTAGTTGCAAGGTGCTTGCTTTGGCTACAGAGAGGCACCCCCAAAGAGGGTGGGGATGTAACAATGCAGCTGCTCCTGGAGGCCAGTAGATTGGGCTGAGGCTGCATAGGGCTGTAGGGAGAGGGACCAGAAAAGATAGTTGCTTAACAGTCTCTCCCTTCCACAGGCCGCTTTGCCGTGCGGGACATGAGGCAGACGGTGGCGGTGGGTGTGATCAAGGCTGTGGAGAAGAAGGCTAGTGTAGTAGCCAAAGTCACCAAGTCGGCCGTGAAGGCTGGTAAGAAATGAGCAGCTGGCCGTGCCCTGAGCTGTTGGCTCCTGGGTTGCTGTTGGGACTCACTCGCACAGAACAAGCTGCCGCACCCTGTAGGTGCTGGGGTACCACCGGAGGAAGGGGTTGGTCTGACACTTGCACTTGAACTCCCTTATCTTCTTCTTTTTTTCCTCCTCCTAACTGGCCAGTATTTCCTGAATAAATTTTGCAAGTGGAAAGAAAAAAAAAAAGTGTGGCTCTGGATTTCTGTGACTCCCCTCTGCAGGAGGCGTCTCTCCTCTTCTTCTTCCCCCCCACAAGCCACTTACTACAGACCTCTAGTACAAAGAAAACAGCAGCTTTCTGAGATGCTGGCTGTGAAGTGATCCTACCCCTTTCCCATCCCATGTCCCCTTCTTAATGTAGGGATTTGACTTGGTTCATGCTCTGCTCTGATCAAGGACCCATGTAGAGAAATGCAGGGTGCTGCACCTGGGGAGAAGGAATCCACAGCATACATACAAACCAGGGAGCTCCCTCCCCTTGTGGGCACAGAGGTGGAAAGGGATCTCGGAGTCAGTATTGACTCCAAGATGAACATGAGCTGCCAATGCCAGACTGCAGCCAGCGAGGCCAGCCATACCTTGTCATGCATCCAAAGGTGCATCTCAAACCAGTCCAGAGAGGTGCTCCTCCCCCTCTACATGACATTGGTCTAGCCTCAACTGGAGTACTGCATCCAGTTGTAGGTACCGCACTTCAAGAGGGATGTGGCCAGCCTGGAGAGGGTCCAGAGGAGGCCACCCGCTTGGTGAGAGGGCAGCAGGACAGGCCCTATGAGGAGAGGCTGGGGGGAGATTTGGTGGCTGCCTACAACCTCCATTAGGGAAGATCAGCAGCAAATAGGAAGGGTCCTATTCCCTTCCAGCATCACCTGGGGTGATGAGGAACAATGGCCAGAAGCTGCTGGAGAATGGGTTCATGTTGGAGATTAGGAGGCACTATTTCACTGTTAGGGTGGCTAGGATCTGGAACCAACTTCCTAGGGAAGTGGTCCTTGCTCCTACCTTGGGTAAATTCAAAAAGAGGTTGGATGAACACTTGTCTGGGGTCATGTGATCCCAGCATATGCGCCAACCAGGGGCAGGGGGTCAGACTAGATCTATTCGGGTCCCTTCTGACCCCTAACTCCTATGAAGTGTCACAGGGCTGGATACTAGTGTCAGCTGCTGGGCTTGGGTCCAGGAGCACAGTGGAGGAGCAACAGGATGGGGGGTGGCAAAGAGGGAACTGCTGCCCCAGTCCTACAATGCACGAGAGCCTTCTTCTCTAAAAGAGATTGAGTTGCAGTCTCTAGAGTTGAAGAAGGAGCCCTTCACCAGCCCCCCTGCCACTAGGTGAGACTTGTAATAAGGCTGGGGAGGAGACTGGCCTGCCAGAGGCATATCTTTGGTGCTGGCGTGCTGCATTGTACTGGGAGCTGTGATCATGGAGACATGACCCCTGCTCCTTTCTGGCCCTTTCAGGAGACCAGACTGAGCAGGAGAGCTGTGTCTTGGTGCAGAGAGCAGGACCTTGCTGTGACCTGGTGCAGCAGGCCACTCCCTCCAGCAAGCACTGCTGGATTTGGGGGGGATGCAGACAGTAAATGTAGTGACTTCTGGGGAAAGGTCCTGCTTGGCAGAAATAGGCAGTCTCCAGCTGGAGAGGACAGGCCGTAGAGTCCACCCTCAGACTCCATAAGTTAATGCTAAGCAGGGAACTAACACTCCCATACCTGGGTACAGCCAGGCCAAGAGCTGACCTTGGGGGAAAAGCAAGACCCGTGTTACTAGCCAATGCAGAGTAGCTGCCCCAGCCTCCACTTGTCCGAGAGGGACCTGACATGCCAGTGACTTAAGGCTCATCTATATTGCTGACAGCCTCTGCACAGCAGATTGCCCCTTGTCTGTGTGGGCAGCCTCTGCGCCTAGCAAGGAGACCTGGGTACAGCTTGGCGTAGACTTTCCCTTCACATCCTCATGTTAAAGTATCTCATGGCTCTGCAGCCTTTTGGCTTTCCAGCTGCCCAGGTTACCTGGACTCGCTACCAGTGGGTCGCTCCTCTCTGGTGTGATGGTGAAGGACTGA